TTCTCAAAGTTGTACAAATGTATAAAGTTCCCAGTGTATAGCAGCTTTCTCTGAGAGAATGTATGCATTTGTATATGTAACTCCATTTGGCCTAAAATTTACCCTATTCCACCGAAATCACTTCTCCTTACTTATGTGTGTTTGACTAGAAATTCTACACTGCTTTTTTTGTAAAAGTTGTGCAAACATGTAAAATGCCCAATGTCTAGCAGTTTTTTCTGAGAGAATGCATACGTTTCTGTATGTAACTCCATTCCACCTAAAAGATACATTCTTCCAACTAAATGAATTCTCCTTTCTTAGGTGTTTTGACAGGAAACTCTACACACTGTACTGTTTCTCAAAGTTGAGCAACTTACCCCATGTCTAGGAGCTTTCTCTGAGAGAATGTATGCGTTTCTATATGTAACTCCATTCTGCCTAAAGGTTACCCTCTTCCAACGAAATGACCCTCCTTTCTTAAGTGTGTTTGACTAGAAACTCTACACACTGCTTTGTTTCTCAATGTTGTGCAAACCTATAAAGTGCCCAGTGTCTAGCAGCTTTCTCTCAGAGAATGTATGCGTTTGTATATGTAACTCCATTGGGCCTAAAAGTTACCCTCTTCCACGAATTGACTTCTCCTTTCTTAGGTGTGTTTGACTACAAACTATACACACTGCTTTGTTTCTGAAAGAAGTGCAAACCTTTTGCGTATGTTGAACCATCCCTACATCTTTGGATGAAGCCTACTTGGTCATGATGTATTATTTTCTTAATAAGAACCTGGATTCGGTTAGCTAGAATTTTGTTGAGAATTTTTGCATCTACATTCATAAGGGATATTGGTCTGTAGTTTTCCTTTTTGTTGCGTCCTTTCCTGGTTTTGGTATCAGGGTTATGTTGGCTTCATAAAACTTGTTGGGGAGGAATTCATCCTTCTCAATGTTGTGGAATAATTTCTGCAGGATAGGCACCAGTTCTTCTTTGTAGGTGTGGTAAAATTCGGGTGTGAAACCATTTGGTCCGGGACTTTTCTTTTTTGGAATGTTTTTTATTGCTGTTTCAATTTCAGTCCTTGATATTAGTCTGTTCAGGAATTCTATTTCTTCCTGGTTAAGCCTAGGGAGGCTGTGTGTTTCTAAAAATTTGTCCATTTCCTCCACATTTTCCAGTTTGTGTGCATAAAGATTTTTGTAATACTCATAAATTATATCTTGAATCTCCACGGCATCAGTTGTAACTTCTCCTTTTTTGTTCCTGATGGAGCTTATCAGGGATTTTTCTTTTCTGTTTTTCGTTAGTTTAGCCAAAGGCATGTCAATTTTGTTTATTTTTTCAAAGAACCAACTTTTTGTCTTATTAATCTTCCATATAGTTTCCCTGTTGTCAATTTCATTTAGTTCTGATTTGATCTTATTAATTTCCCTTCTTCTGCTGGGTTTGGGGTCAGTCTATTCTTTTTTCCAGTTCTTTGAGTTGATTCATTAGGTTATCTATTTGTGATCTTTTTGACTTTTGGATATAGGCATTTATGGAAATAAACTTTCCTCTCAGGACTGCTTTGGCTGTGTCTCACATATTTTGATAACTTGTGTCACCTTTGTCATTTAGTTCAAAGAATCTTTTGATTTCCATCTTTACTCCCTTGTTTATGAAGGAATCGTTCAGCAGAAGGTTGTTTAATTTCCATGACTTTGTGTAGAGACGAGAGTTTCTGTTGGTGTTGATTTCTATTTTTATTCCTCTGTGATCTGAGAAGAGGCATGGTATGATTTCTATTTTTTTAAATTTTTTGAGACGTGCTTTGTGTCCTAGAATATGGTCAATCTTAGAGAATGTCCCATGAGCTGATGAGAAGAATGTGTATTCAGTGGTTTTTGGGTAGAATGTCCTGTAAATGTCAGTCAGGTCCATTTGTTCTAGAGTTCTGTTTAAGTCCATTATTTCTTTGTTAATTTTCTGTTTGAAGGTTCTGTTCTGCGCTGTCAGTGGGGTGTTGAAGTCTCTGACTATTATGATGTTGCTGTCTATCAATTTGTTTAGATCAAGTAGAGTTTGCTTTATGAATCTGGGTGCACCTAAGTTGGGTGGATACATATTTAGAATTGTTATGTCTTCTTATTGAACTTTACCCTTCATCATTATATAGTGACCCTCTTTGTCTTTCATTACTTTTGTTGATTTAAAAACTAAGTTATCTGAGATCAAAACTGCCATACCAGCCTTCTTTTGGCTTCCATTTGCTTGAAATATTGATTTCCACCCCTTTACCTTGAGTCTAAATGCATCCTTGCAGTTTAGATGCATTTCCTAGAGACAGCAGATGCTTGGCTTGTTTTTTTAATCCATTTTGCCAGCCTATGTCTCTTAAGAGGGGAGTTCAAGCCATTCACATTTATCGAGAGAACCGATAAGTGGGGTGAATTACTGTTGATTCTGTTGGATTGCATTTTGTTGCTTTGTTTTCT